ACCTGAGTAATGTTGAGTTGGCCATGCCCACACCGTCACATGACCACTAAACCCCGCCTACCCACCGGGTCATTGGGACAGAGAACCGGTTGGTAAATTATTTGAATCCCACCACTGCATTGCTCCCTTTTAGAAATTCATTAAATTATGCTCCAGAGCATATGAGGTCATTGGAAACATACCAGGATTGCTTTGCAAGTAAGATCAGCAGCATATAAATTGAATAAGTGAATGCAAGGAAGGCAAGAAGGAAACATTCTGGTGTTGTTTCTAGCCTAATCTTGATTGCCCTGCTTACAGAAACTGCCTCTCTGGTTAACCCTTATGACATTGTAACAGCTAAGGCGAAGCGCCCATCAACGTGAGTGACATTGAGTTGGCCACGCCCAGTCAGTCACATGACCATTGAGCCATGCCTATCCAGCTGGTGATTAGGGCAGAGAACCGGTTGTTAAGTTATTTGAATCCCACTGCTGCCCCACACCCACCAGCCCATCACATGGTCCAGTCTCCCACTGCCATGCTGGCAGCTTCCACCCATCCAGTTCCAGGTGCAGAGACAAAGGATGACCTTGGGTTTCTAGAAAGAATTTTGTTTTGCCTACATAGCATCCACTCCGTACAATCCCCCCTCCCATAGAAAAGACGTAGTAGAATAATAGAAAGTGTTGGCAGGCCAAGGCTCAAAGAAGAATATGACTGCAGGCTTGACACACATACTGTAAAATGCCCACGTCTGATTTAATTCCTATTCCTGTATAACTATTCAATTAAGTGGTTGTGGTGGCCTAGTGGTGGAGCTCTCGCCTTACAATAAGGAGGATGTGAGTTCGAGCCTAGGTAGAGGCAGATACTTTTCTCTCTGGGCACATTGAGACTATATCTGCTGAATATAACTCCGCATTGGCGACAGGAAGGAGATCCGGCCAGTAATCACTCAGCTCCATTCAGTTGCCCAGACTCCACCCCACCAGGGATTATGAGGTCATTCAAAGAAGATGATGATGGCTGTCGACAGGACTCACACAACAAAGGACAAACTAAGAACAAACCAAGGGAACCTGGTTTACAACAATTCCATAACCCCCATCAATGCAGACCAAGCTTGATTAAACAAGCCAGCAGTGTTTGCACATGGTACTCAGCTATAAACCATGGTTTGCAACAACCCACCCGGTGCTAAGTCAAAAAAGTCATCCAGGCCCCTTGATGACTTCCAGAGCAATGTGTGAACATTGCCCTGCAAGATACTCACCACTGGATCGGAGGTGGGAGAGGAATCCTCCATGCGGTTCGGGGCAGGCACCCCCACTGGATTTGGGGAGCCTTCCCAGCTGCGGGCCTCCAAGTTGGAGTCAGATGAGGCAGCTGCTTCCAAGCCAGTGGATTCTTTTAGGACCCTCGATCTGGGCCTACGTCCTTTCCTTCTTCTCTCTTCCAGATCATCACAGGCAGGTTCAGGAGGGACCTTCTCCGGGACCACAGCCCTTCCTTCCACTTCCATTTTCTGACAGCTAGTCATCAAATCTGAGTGGGCCAGGGCTACCCGGTCCTCCTCCTCCTCCTCCTCCATGGAAATGCCCCCTTCGTAATGGAGGAGACTGAGCAGGTTCTCCTGGTTGGTTTCTGAGGAAAGCAATTCCACACTTCTCTGTCCCTGGACGGATCTCAGGAGGTGCTGAGCGGCTGCCCGAAGGCCCTGCCCTGTGGCCACATGGAGTAGAGAAGGGGCACATTTGTCTGGAGGTCCCTGGAGGTCCTCAGGATGCTCAAGGAGGGGTCGCCTGTCTCCATCTCCTAACCCCTGGGTTTCCTCGCCGTCCGAAGCAGCCAAGAGGTCCTCTTCAGAAGTGGGCAGCTTGTCGTGAAAGCCAGGGTTAAGTCTCTGCAGTCGGGCAAAAAGCTTTAAGAACTCGGCCTGGTCAGGCTCTGGAATCACCTCTTCCTCATCCTTCTCCTCTACCTCCTTCGGAATTTCACCCTGGTCAATAGTGGACTTGAGGTTGCTCTCTACCTCGGAGGAGACCTGGTCTGGTTTGGGTGTCCAGCATACGTTCTCTTCCTGAGCTGAAGCTTTGGCACCCTCCTCCATACCATTCCTGTTGAGGAAACCCAAACCTTTAACGTTTCTCCAAGTGACAACAGAGACTGCCTGCCCCAAGAAAGGAAGTCAATGCCAAATATATACATATCCATATATGTTATATTTGTGCTGATAAATAAATAAAGGCAACAGTAAAAAAAAANGTCCCTGAGTGAACCGGCAATAAAAGAATCGAACCCACCCCTGAACAACAACAACCCTGTGAGGTAGATTGGGCTATGACCAATATTGACAAGAATTAAAACAGTTTAATTTGTAAACTGTTTTAGGTTTTTTTTTTTTTTAAAGAAAATTTGCATATTTAAAGGACTAGAATCCAGTAGCACTGGATGGAAGCTGCATAATGAAATAATAGTCAAATAGAAGCCTTTAGCTTTGGGGACCTGAAATCTGAAGTGGGTGTTTTAGTACATCTGATTTCTGAAGCCTCTGCTAACTAATTCCTTGTGTGCTTCCTGTCTTCATTGTAATTTGGTTCTAACTTTGAGTAAATCTCTCATTTTGAGGGATTTTGGTTAAGGTTAAATGCAGAGTCTGTTTACACCCCATTTCAATTCCTCCCCCTTGCTTTTTGATTGGTATAGAAATGCATGATGTGCAGCTAAGAGCGAATACCTGAGACTGTGAGAAGATGGAGAAATGGCCATGGGAACAGTGGTTTGGGTTATAACCACAGAGAAAAAAAGTGTTCCGTATGTGTTTGTTTTCCAAGGAAATGTAATTTTGCTGCAACCGGGATTAATCAATGAATGGCTGGGTTTGTTCCCCAACTCTCTTAGCCTTAGCATTTTCTCTGGATTTGGCCAATGCATTGAATCATAAGCTGAGGGACCCTCCTCGCCCTGGCATTGTTGTTTCCTCAATTGATCTTGTTAAGTATGCCTTGTGAAGCCAACCATCAAATTGTCTGAAAAAGCTTTTGTCTCATTCTGCCTGTGCAGGCTCTCCTCCTGCTAACCTCACTAATTATTTTCCTTGTTTGTGCTGTCTCATTGAGAACAGTCTGTTGCCATTATTTTCTTTCTGGGTGAAAACCTGAAGGCTGTTTCATCATAATTGGAATTCCATGTTGCTTTCAGTGGGCTGATTTGCTTCCCTCCCTCATTTCTTCTTCTTTTCTGTAAAGTGTTTTTAGAGCTCATGGATGACAAGTCACTGGGTTGCCTCCATAACAACATGAGCAAGATCAAAGCTACAACGCAGATTATCTGGGGAAAGCAAGATCAGGTACATCAGTTTCCCTCTGGGATTTTTAATCGAGACCAGTCTGTACTATTTTTTTTTTAAGTATAACGTTGCCTCACTCACTTGTGAAATATATAATGCCCCAACCTGTATGGTATTGAATAACATGCTGCAATCCCCTTTATCTCAGAAGCAGTTTTAAAATTATACAACCTGACTTCCCATTGGATTTCATGCAATTTATGGCCTGAAAATTAATAGGTTTGCAATTTCTCTCTCCTTTTCCAGGATATTATTTGCTACATTTTTTCATACTTCTATGCTACCATACTCCAAAACAACTCTGGATGTCTTTATAGATTAAAAACAGTAAAATAAAAAACAAAATACCCAACCAACCAAACATCAAAAATAACTGGCATATCAAGGGAAACCCTTCATACATGCTGGTCAAAAAACACACCATACCACCATTGCAACGATCAAAGTACACATGATATCACCACTCCTTCCCTCCAATTTAGTCTTTCTAATTTTGTTTTCCTACTAGTGAGAATGTGCATGTGTGTGAGAAACCTTGTGTCAGGGTTCTAAGTAACACCCAGGGCTGGCACCTTGTCTGCTCCAGATCAACAGTTTCATAGGCCATCTTACTGCTTTCCAAGTGCAGACATTATCTCCAAGCTATTATGTAAGAGGGTGGCAGGCCATGTTAGTTTCTCCACCCAGCATTTCCTCGAAAAAAAAGGGTTGGGTTCTTGTTACAATTGCAGAATTTTAAAGGCAAGAGCAGCAATGCCTTGAGAACCTCTTAAAAATAATCACACATAAGCAAAGTAAAGTCTGTCTTGAGCTAAGGTCCATTCCTGGCAACTACAGTATATGGACTTGCCGTGGTGCTTTCTTTACAAGAACACTAAAGAATTTTGGCATTGCTTTCCTTGGAGACTTTGCTTGGCTGCTCTAGTGGATTCCCTGGTTTCTCATCCAAAAACTAACCATGGCAGACCGGCTTTTCAAGATCAGTCAAGAAAGAGTAGGTGTGGTGACCGTTCTATGGTCTCAAATGCATACTCTGTCTTCTTCTTCTTCTTTTTTTTAAATATACAGCCTTTTGTATCGGCATTCATTAGTTATACATTTTTTTNGAGATGATGATTCAGCCTCGGCTGGCCCCCCTTCTCTTCGCAGACAAAAAAGCTGCAAAGATCAATTCTAGGCCATTGAAATTCTAGAAATTTCAATGGCCTATTTGTCTGCACAACTCTCAGTTTTGGGGAAGGTTGCATTAACATATTTCTGTTGTAGTTTTGAAAGGGAAATAACTAATTTCAAGATTTCAGGGGTGTGTTACTGACTTTTATATCACAACTTGGGATCCTGCTGTAGCCTTGGTCATAGGCTACAGGGCCACATTTGGACTGTGGTTTGAATATCATTTGCTGTGATCTGATATCAAGAAATTAAAACATTTTGGAGCACATCTTCTCTCTTCCAAGGGCAGTCCCTGTTTAGTGGAAATGGACACTGGTGACTCATTCTGGATCTTTCTTTCCCAGCCTGGTACCCTCCAGATGTGCAAGAATGTTGAGGGAATAGTCTACTGTACTATTTAGAGTAGGAGATGCTTCATAAATGCTCACTGAATTCAACAATAGCGATATTTTTAATTGAATTTGTAACTCCATGCACTTAACTGAATTTCCAATTAAATCCTTAAGTCAAGTCAGGTCTTGTTATCACTTCCTTTTCTTCCTTTTTCCCATTTTTTATTTTATTTAATTTTAAATGAAAATTTCTATGGCAGGGTTATTAAGAAAATCTGTTGCTTTTGATCTTAGCACACAATGTTTCTTCTCCTCTCATTACAGGTCTTGTCAATAGCCAAGAAAGCAATTTTATAAAACAGTTGCGGGAGCAGAAGGAGAACAACTGCATTGACCACATTCCTTTGATTCCATCCACTCCGGAAGAAATGGGAGACATGTTAAAACTGTGCTCTTATGTTCGCTTCAAGGTGCCCCATCAAGTAAGCAAGTGGCATCATTGGAAAATATCTTTAACTAGACGTTCCACCCAAATTAGTTAGTTTTAGTTGTTAGTTGTAGACTACAAATAATACATTGTAGATACCAATGAAAACTAAGTGCCATGGTGTATATTTAATAGAAATTGAAAACTGTTAACACAGTTTAGAGATTAAAATAAATTAAACTAGCAAATTTATATCAACATGCACATATTATTTATTTATTTTAATAAAATTTGGATGGCCGCCCACTCTCTCAGTGATTCTGGGCGATTTACAAAAATAAAAACCCAATATACAAAAAATAAAAAACAATATCCCCACCCTCACAGTTGTTGCTTAATTTGACATTGACATTAATTTGACATTTGACATTGGGATGTGGTGGCTCAGTGGCTAAGACGCTGAGCATGTTATTTATTATTTTATTAAATTGATTTATAGGCCGCCCAATCCCGGAGGATTGTTGGTCAGAAGGTCGGCAGTTTGGCAGTTCAAATCCCTAGTGTTGTGTAATGGAGTGAGCTCCCATTACTTGTCCCTGCTTCTGCCAATTTAGCAGTTCGAAAGCATGTAAAATAATAAATAACATGCTCAGCGTCTTAGCCACTGAGCCACCACATCCCAATGTCAAATGTCAAATTAATGTCAATGTCAAATTAAGCAACAACTGTGAGGGTGGGGATATTGTTTTTTATTTTTT